GTTGAATACAAAACCTCATCAAGGTTTTTTCAATGAACCCTTTAAATGACATCCGTCCTAAACAAGCGGCAGATCGTCTTTTAGAGATCTGTCTCTGGAGGATGTGCCACCCATAAAAATGGGAACATTGCACTGGACCCGCTTGTCGCACTGGGACCGGTTTTGACGGTACACAGACAACCAAATGTCCGATGTCGAAACCCGGATTCAACAAAAGCTTGATAGCTCTACCCAATCTCATCGCTCAGAAGCGAGCCAGCAATCCGCTGATATCGCTCACCAACTGCAGCTGCAGCTTCAAACTACTCAGAAACGAATCGAAATGAATTGTCGTTTAATGGAAAGCATAATTCAATCGAAACAGGACCAACGAATTGGAGAGATGCAACAACAAACAGACACGCAGCTTCGTGATTTCGGCAATCGCTTCAAAAGTACCCAGCCCGAGTTACCTCAACGCGTTGAGACTTTGGTAAAGTTGAGCTTGGAACTACGCAACGATTTACTTCAAGACCAGCTTCAACAAAAGCGTTTGGAAGCGCAAACCCAGCACCTCCGTGATATAGAAACTAAGAACCAGAACTCTCTCGCTGCTATAATTGCAAAACTGGACAAGGCATCGGCGGAAACGGCAGGCTTACACACAAAACAGGAGCTGTTTGAAAGTAGAATTGAACTAGCCATGCAACAGACAAGAAAAAGAAGTCAACGAGCACCTGACGTCAATCATTCTCGGCTTGGACAAGCGGCACAATCCATGGCAAACCACACCCGTTGCAACTATCATTGAATCCTCTCAATATGTATCCGTTGCTAGCGAGACCCAAGCACCGATGTCATTAGAGGCGAGACAACTCGACATTCCGAATGCAGTAGTGAATTCACCAAAACGAGGAACAAGACCACTACCTGACACGCAACATGGCACTCAAGTACTATCGGGAGGCATGAGCCAGTCCCAAGAGTCAGAAGTACAATTTCAGCAAGCTAGCAATACTGAGAATAATTCATCGTCACCGCGCTCGGATGGACGAGCACATCAATCATTGGATCAAGTAGCTTTAAGCAGACTGAATTTGGTTGAGGCTCGCAGGGCTGCACAGCGTGGTGTGGAATTACGAATTCGAGCAAGGTATACAGCATTACGACAAGAAGCCATGTTGCTAAAGTGATTAAACTCGCCTCACTCATTTAACTCGATCCGTCTCCGCTCTTGACCAAATCACATCAATAGTTCAATTCATATCTGATCGGCCAGAACCCTGTCATTTCGTTACATTATCCGCGGTAGTGTTTCGGCAATGACATGTATCCGAACTTCCGACTTGGAAGTGTTATCGATGCATTTAATACATATACTAGCCCTCTGGGCAAGGTTAGTTGGAGCAGTAACGAGAGCCGCCTCCACTGAAGCTTGACGCTGATGCGGCATCGAGTTGCATCTTCAAATGTGTAATCAGCGCCGATGAAAGCAGCAGAGCCGATTGCGAGCTCATTGCAGAGTCTTCTTTTTTTTTGATATAAGATGCTAACGCGTGCAGCCGCCCGTCGCGACAAAGCATCCCATGCAGAGCAAGATGCTGAAAGAAGACAAGAGATAATGGAGATCGACGAATTTGAGTCACCGCATATATCCGGCCAGCCTGTGCAACGGCGTTGTCAGCTCAGAATTGAAGAAGAGATCGATGGAAACCAGCACAGACGCCAATAAGTTGTACAAGAAGAAATTGTAAGCTTAGAAGGGGGCGCAAATCAAGAAAAAATCTATGAACACGCGCTAATAGAGACCCAAAATCGTGCAATCGAGCACGAAAGACACATAGAAGGGCGCATGAACCAGTTGGTCGCTCACAACGACCACCAGCTAGCTCAAGCTACCGAAGCCTCAGAGAGAAGAATTGAGCAGCCATTACAAGCGCAGCTTAATCAGTCTCACGAAGAGATTTGCTGAAGAGCGAAAGCTGAAACGCTGCATCTGCAGAACTCACTTCAAGTTGCGTTGGAGAAGGCTGAGACGGCATCTCACGAGCGTCATAAACAACTGACAACAGTACAAGAATCGCAGATATCAGAGTTGTCGGAGCAATGGAAAGCTCAAATTGCGACAGCGTTTCTTGAGCAGGCGTCGCCAAGTACATCATTAATGGCCGATTTGGAAAACAGGCTCACACAGGCCAATCATTTGATAAAAACCGATATAAGAGCATATGCTACCCATGTAGACACTCGTATGGAAGACACTGAGAACAATGCGCGCATATACCGTAAAAATCGGCCCCAGTGCGACATCGATTTTTGGTCAAAGTCAAGTCGAATACAAAACCTCATCAAGGTTTTTTCAATGAACCCTTTAAATGACATCCGTCCTAAACAAGCGGCAGATCGTCTTTTAGAGATCTGTCTCTGGAGGATGTGCCACCCATAAAAATGGGAACATTGCACTGGACCCGCTTGTCGCACTGGGACCGGTTTTGACGGTACACAGACAACCAAATGTCCGATGTCGAAACCCGGATTCAACAAAAGCTTGATAGCTCTACCCAATCTCATCGCTCAGAAGCGAGCCAGCAATCCGCTGATATCGCTCACCAACTGCAGCTGCAGCTTCAAACTACTCAGAAACGAATCGAAATGAATTGTCGTTTAATGGAAAGCATAATTCAATCGAAACAGGACCAACGAATTGGAGAGATGCAACAACAAACAGACACGCAGCTTCGTGATTTCGGCAATCGCTTCAAAAGTACCCAGCCCGAGTTACCTCAACGCGTTGAGACTTTGGTAAAGTTGAGCTTGGAACTACGCAACGATTTACTTCAAGACCAGCTTCAACAAAAGCGTTTGGAAGCGCAAACCCAGCACCTCCGTGATATAGAAACTAAGAACCAGAACTCTCTCGCTGCTATAATTGCAAAACTGGACAAGGCATCGGCGGAAACGGCAGGCTTACACACAAAACAGGAGCTGTTTGAAAGTAGAATTGAACTAGCCATGCAACAGACAAGAAAAAGAAGTCAACGAGCACCTGACGTCAATCATTCTCGGCTTGGACAAGCGGCACAATCCATGGCAAACCACACCCGTTGCAACTATCATTGAATCCTCTCAATATGTATCCGTTGCTAGCGAGACCCAAGCACCGATGTCATTAGAGGCGAGACAACTCGACATTCCGAATGCAGTAGTGAAATCACCAAAACGAGGAACAAGACCACTACCTGACACGCAACATGGCACTCAAGTACTATCGGGAGGCATGAGCCAGTCCCAAGAGTCAGAAGTACAATTTCAGCAAGCTAGCAATACTGAGAATAATTCATCGTCACCGCGCTCGGATGGACGAGCACATCAATCATTGGATCAAGTAGCTTTAAGCAGACTGAATTTGGTTGAGGCTCGCAGGGCTGCACAGCGTGGTGTGGAATTACGAATTCGAGCAAGGTATGCAGCATTACGACAAGAAGCCATGTTGCTAAAGTGATTAAACTCGCCTCACTCATTTAACTCGATCCGTCTCCGCTCTTGACCAAATCACATCAATAGTTCAATTCATATCTGATCGGCCAGAACCCTGTCATTTCGTTACATTATCCGCGGTAGTGTTTCGGCAATGACATGTATCCGAACTTCCGACTTGGAAGTGTTATCGATGCATTTAATACATATACTAGCCCTCTGGGCAAGGTTAGTTGGAGCAGTAACGAGAGCCGCCTCCACTGAAGCTTGACGCTGATGCGGCATCGAGTTGCATCTTCAAATGTGTAATCAGCGCCGATGAAAGCAGCAGAGCCGATTGCGAGCTCATTGCAGAGTCTTCTTTTTTTTTGATATAAGATGCTAACGCGTGCAGCCACCCGTCGCGACAAAGCATCCCATGCAGAGCAAGATGCTGAAAGAAGACAAGAGATAATGGAGATCGACGAATTTGAGTCACCGCATATATCCGGCCAGCCTGTGCAACGGCGTTGTCAGCTCAGAATTGAAGAAGAGATCGATGGAAACCAGCACAGACGCCAATAAGTTGTACAAGAAGAAATTGTAAGCTTAGAAGGGGGCGCAAATCAAGAAAAAATCTATGAACACGCGCTAATAGAGACCCAAAATCGTGCAATCGAGCACGAAAGACACATAGAAGGGCGCATGAACCAGTTGGTCGCTCACAACGACCACCAGCTAGCTCAAGCTACCGAAGCCTCAGAGAAAAGAATTGAGCAGCCATTACAAGCGCAGCTTAATCAGTCTCACGAAGAGATTTGCTGAAGAGCGAAAGCTGAAACGCTGCATCTGCAGAACTCACTTCAAGCTGCGTTGGAGAAGGCTGAGACGGCATCTCACGAGCGTTATAAACAACTGACAACAGTACAAGAATCGCAGATATCAGAGTTGTCGGAGCAATGGAAAGCTCAAATTGCGACAACGTTTCTTGAGCAGGCGTCGGCAAGTACATCATTAATGGCCGATTTGGAAAACAGGCTCACACAGGCCAATCATTTGATAAAAACCGATATAAGAGCATATGCTACCCATGTAGACACTCGTATGGAAGACACTGAGAACAATGCGCGCATATACCGTAAAAATCGGCCCCAGTGCGACATCGATTTTTGGTCAAAGTCAAGTTGAATACAAAACCTCATCAAGGTTTTTTCAATGAACCCTTTAAATGACATCCGTCCTAAACAAGCGGCAGATCGTCTTTTAGAGATCTGTCTCTGGAGGATGTGCCACCCATAAAAATGGGAACATTGCACTGGACCCGCTTGTCGCACTGGGGCCGGTTTTGACGGTACACAGACAACCAAATGTCCGATGTCGAAACCCGGATTCAACAAAAGCTTGATAGCTCTACCCAATCTCATCGCTCAGAAGCGAGACAGCAATCCGCTGATATCGCTCACCAACTGCAACTGCAGCTTCAAACTACTCAGAAACGAATCGAAATGAATTGTCGTTTAATGGAAAGCATAATTCAATCGAAACAGGACCAACGAATTGGAGAGATGCAACAACAAACAGACACGCAGCTTCGTGATTTCGGCAATCGCTTCAAAAGTACCCAGCCCGAGTTACCTCAACGCGTTGAGACTTTGGTAAAGCTGAGCTTGGAACTACGCAACGACTTACTTCAAGACCAGCTTCAACAAAAGCGTTTGGAAGCGCAAACCCAGCACCTCCGTGATATAGAAACTAAGAACCAGAACTCTCTCGCTGCTATAATTGCAAAACTGGACAAGGCATCGGCGGAAACGGCAGGCTTACACACAAAACAGGAGCTGTTTGAAAGTAGAATTGAACTAGCCATGCAACAGACAAAAAAAAAGAAGTCAACGAGCACCTGACGTCAATCATTCTCGGCTTGGACAAGCGGCACAATCCATGGCAAACCACACCCGTTGCAACTATCATTGAATCCTCTCAATATGTATCCGTTGCTAGCGAGACCCAAGCACCGATGTCATTAGAGGCGAGACAACTCGACATTCCGAATGCAGTAGTGAATTCACCAAAACGAGGAACAAGACCACTACCTGACACGCAACATGGCACTCAAGTACTATCGGGAGGCATGAGCCAGTCCCAAGAGTCAGAAGTACAATTTCAGCAAGCTAGCAATACTGAGAATAATTCATTGTCACCGCGCTCGGATGGACGAGCACATCAATCATTGGATCAAGTAGCTTTAAGCAGACTGAATTTGGTTGAGGCTCGCAGGGCTGCACAGCGTGGTGTGGAATTACGAATTCGAGCAAGGTATGCAGCATTACGACAAGAAGCCATGTTGCTAAAGTGATTAAACTCGCCTCACTCATTTAACTCGATCCGTCTCCGCTCTTGACCAAATCACATCAATAGTTCAATTCATATCTGATCGGCCAGAACCCTGTCATTTCGTTACATTATCCGCGGTAGTGTTTCGGCAATGACATGTATCCGAACTTCCGACTTGGAAGTGTTATCGATGCATTTAATACATATACTAGCCCTCTGGGCAAGGTTAGTTGGAGCAGTAACGAGAGCCGCCTCCACTGAAGCTTGACGCTGATGCGGCATCGTGTTGCATCTTCAAATGTGTAATCAGCGCCGATGAAAGCAGCAGAGCCGATTGCGAGCTCGTTGCAGAGTCTTCTGTACGCGTCCGCGAGCGATGACGAGCGCAACATAGCCACTGATGCAGCGTCTCGCTGATTTATTCCGTGGGCGTTTGATGGACGTGAAGACGTTCGTTCGAAGAGCTGCAGTGCGCGCTCTCGAAGCGTTTCTGACGGGCTCACGCAGGCGACACGGGTTACACATCGTCCAAGAACGACCAATTTGACAGCCACGCGCGCAATACAGACTCGTCGTTTGTTGTTCGTGCGCAGTCTATGAAGTCGTTGTCAGCGATTCTAATCAAGTTCCCACGCGATGAAGAAGCGCACTGCCTGTGAGGCCTAGGTGTTCTCCCGCTGTGTGTTGACCCGGAGACGAGTGTGCAATCTTGAGCGTTGGAAGCGACAGGAAGAGCTGTGTTTGACCGAGTCCTAATGTAGTTCGAGTCACGTCGTAACAAGTCGCTACGTGAAGCCCCCGACTGCGTTTGGATACAAGTGGCGCATCTTGATGGGGTCATGGCTGGCCGTTTGCAAAAGACATTGCGAATGCCCATCAAGAGCGACATAATCGACGTCGAGAAGATCATCAAAACGTGCGTCTTTGCCATCAAGTAAATCGTGAGTCTGTACAGCTCTGGTCATGAAGAAGTGTAGTAAAAAACGAAAGACGCTACTCGGGCTTCAGCTGGATCGTTTTAGAGGAGTTGGCTCACGCTGGTAATCTTGTAGAGCCTCGCTCGAGGTAAACAGTAGAATCTCATCATATTGGTCGAGTGCTGGAACAAGCGGCAGGATCATGCGTTACCGGTGATATTTATCGATGGATCGAAGCGTTTTTCTGCATGTGGCTACCGCCTTATTTACGGTATTTGACGCGTAGGATGCCAAGTCGATCGCTGACGGCATTTTGGCGTCGCTGCATTCGTTTGCCATCCACGACTGTGCTGGCGGACCACGTACTGCTCCTGGGCTCGAGCTAGGTGAACGAGCTGCTCGTCGCTGGTTCGTCTACTGGCCGCCAACTTCATTGCTTCAAGACATGTCGCTCGGCGCTCAATGGAGTCTACCCAGTGCTGGAACAAGGGCAAGGACATGGCCGTGTGGAAGTGTCATGTGGCCGAAAAGATGGGTCCAATTACGTCTTCAAGTTGCGGCAACTTCCTCTTCGCCGGTGCTGATTCAGGCGCATTTTACGTCTCATGAAAGCCGTGTCACTACACGGGGTTGGCGGTGGCGCTCAGTAAATGCAGTGGGGGTACTATGAGGCCACCTGTGCCTGACAAAGGCTCCATTGACAAGCTGTTTTCCCGTGCTGCCGTTTCGCCATCATTCTCAAATTCGGGTTGTGTGACTTCACACACATGCGAGGGGTGTAAAAGGAAGTGATGCCATCATGAGCTATGATAACAACAACACATATCGATAATGATACACTCTGTTTAGCTGGTACTTCGCACCACTGCAAGTTGTAAGTTCTGTCATCGCTGATGCCGACTACATATGATCCGCACACTCTTCAACTAATCAAATACAAACATCGAGACGCACAGCAAGCATACGGTAGGCAATTTGCCGTTCATATATTCTCGATTACGAGCAATAAGAGCTGCTGAGCATAATCTTTTTCGGTGAAGTGGTTCTGCTGAAGCTCGACAAGGATGCCGACAACAGCGGGGAGGCTGCTCTTCTATCTGTTAGGTCGAGTCTGAAGTCGCAGGTCCAGCCTTTTTTGCAGCCCCGGTTCGTCCCTATCAGTCAATCTCAAGCTACCGGACACGGCGATGAAAAATAGTCTTCTGTTATTTCCAAGCCTGTCCCCTTACCGACTCCAGTTCATGTGAGCGCCTTCGTGACTCTAGTCAAGCTGTGCTTACGTACGAAGATCTGGCCAAGCAGTGCATGACGAAGTTTATTAGCGAGCCCCGGACTTGCGAGGTACAGGACATCTGCTCGAACATCCTCGTAATCTTGTGCGATCTCTGTATTCGCTACACGTCACTCGTGGACGCATATGTTCTGACTATTGCGCTGTCGCGGTTGGACAAAAGTCGCTTGTTACAAGTACACCTGGCTACTCGATTACCATGGATGCGACTACGAGCTCCAAGACGAAGAGGACAGCATCACAAAAGAGCTGGCAGAGGTGCTGGCACGGCTGCGCGCAAAGGACCCGATGTCGTTGGAGGAGCCCGGACGAGAATGATACTCGGGACTCAAAGAAATCTTTGAAATCAAGTCTTTCTTTTTACGGTAATTACGTCCCGCTGCCTCTAAAAAAGGCTTATTATAAAAGACGTCGTTGAAAAAAAGGTGTAAAAGCACACGGACTTACTACCAACTTTGCGCACTCGGTCAGTAGTGGTGTTGACGATCTTCCATGTCGCATTAGCCAATTGCTTGCAACATCACACGGTGAACGTGGCAAAACTCGTGTTGTAGTCAGTGTGTCCGTCAGCACAGAAGTCGGCCCCACCCTCCGAGTAGCCGTACGGACAACACACTTGCTGGGCAGCGTGGACGTCGGCATCACCCGAGTCAAAGCTGATGATGTCAACGCTGACGCCGTTGGAGCCTTTGGTTTCGGTCGTGCAGACGTAGACGTGGTCCTTGAGCACCCAGAGGTCGTCGCTGGGACTCGTATACACCTGATGTTAATTCAATTTGTTCTCCAGAGCCGTGATGAGCTTGTTTAAGGTGCTGTATTTGGCTTCTGTCAACACGCGAGCAAATGTAATCGACATGTCTGTAGTCGAGGCTACTCATACGCTGATGAAAGAAGTTCCAGCCAGCTTGTCGCCATCGAACTTGCCATCCAAGGTGGAAGTGAAACACGAGTCATGGTTATCTTCGCTGCTGAAAGCTGTCCTCTAGACATCGAAGGTGATGAGAATGGCCTTGGGTTTAACGTCAGCGTTGCCCACTTGCGTGTTCATGAGCCTGAACACGACATCCTCGGCAACAATATCAAATTTTTCGTACGTTTCAGAGCGCGTGCAGCACGAGTCCGTGGACACGGCAGTGCCCCAGTCTCCGGTGGCAAAGGCTGCAAGCTAGTACGTCACTGATCAATTCTACTGGGCATGTATCAAATATGGCCGTGACAAATTCATGGCGAATTGGCAAATGGTAAGTGTGTATTGGCGAAATGAATAACATGTAAGATACATCTGAATCAATCGTCTTCAATCTCAATATTCTCGGAAAAGCAAGCTGCCATGATATTTTCCCATTCAGCTGTGATGTTCAAATAATTGTTATCGTCTTCTAATGGCACCAGCACATTCGACGGGATACCAGCTCGATAGTCGCCTTCTCGAAGTTGAGGACATTGCGTAACATCGATAAACTCCCTGTTTCGGTTAAGAAATGAACACATGTCAATGTTCATTGCTGAGACGTAACATCGATAAACTCCCTGTTCCGGTTAAGAAATGAACACATGTCAATGTTTATTGCTGCGATTGACGCTCGCTGACTAGTAACCATCATACCATTGACTCCAAAACATCTCTCGATCTGTATCGAAGATGTTGGGACAGCGAATATTATACGAGCAACCGTGGGGAGAAACTGGTAGTTATTGCTCGTTTGTTGACTCCAAAACGTAAGGATGTGCTCAGCTCCAATTTTGTCGTCGCTATTCATTGCAGCTGGTTCTGAAATCCATCGTTCCAACCCTTTTTCCACACGGGCTTCCTGAACATCTCTGGGGGCTGTCTGAGGGGCTGCTTCGTTGGGCTCAAAGAAGTCCATGAGATCTTCAGAGAAGATTACAGGTGGTTCATTCGCAGCCAGCGCAGGTGTCCACTCAACTTCTGGGGCGGGTACAGCAGACAACATTAGAGACTTAAGTCGATCTAGAATTGTTTTTTACGAAGGTAACCATTCGGGAGACTTCATCCTCTTGTAGTCGTTTTTCCGGATTAGCATGATCAATTATTAGCTGTTGGTTGCACAAGCGAATGACCGAAGAGAGGACGCCATCAGGATTCTTCAACTTCGGGTGCAGTAATAACTGCGTCTTGAAGATATATGAAGTCTTTCGTACTTCAGTACGTTTTGTATAGCGAGAGAAAAAGCGTTCATGGAAGGACGAATCAGCGAGAAGTTGTTGAGTCTTCGTTACAGCAGGTGTCAACTCCACTGCAGCAAAATAACGGGGTGGTTTAAGATGCTTGATGCGGTAATCCATGAGAGCAACAGATGCTTCAAGTACTTGTTGTCGGATCTTGAACAGTGTGAGAAGAACTTTAGTTTGGTTTGCAGATTCGCTTTGGGCTCTCTTGTTGAGTACTGGTATAGGCTCTAGAAGACACACCAGCAGAATCAAATTCAGCTTATCAGTAGCAAGTGGAATCCCTTCCGGGGGCGCAAGTCCGACCCGCACTGCTTTGGCGATAAGTTCATCGAGCCAGACCACAGTTGATCCCACTTCTCTAGTATTCTGAGGATAACTTTAGTTAGACCCATAAACCGATGTGGCTTGAATTCTACGAGCGTTCGCGACTTGTCTTTCCGTGTCATCTCGCACAATTCAGCAAATAGTGACCCCATAAGGTCCACGTGACGTACCTGAAATACCGCCTACCAATCCGCGATATCAGCTCAGTCATTGATTTATTCTTTGACTTAGTTTTATCATTTACGATTCCACAAGCAGCTTTAGTTGCAGCATTCGTCATGTGTGGAATGCACCATTCCCACTGAAGTTTCAAACCTTCCGTTAGCATCCACTTCACGTCGGCTCCGGCGTCACTCGTGCCTCCGCAAACGCCGTTGATTGAAAGACCAAAATCAAAAAGAATCCGATCTATCCACCGTTTGAATGGCCCACGAATGCCACCATTGCGCTCACCATACGAAGGACAAAAGTGTCGTGTTCCAAGCAGAAACGACCGGATGCGCCACTGGTTATCGATGAAATAAATCCGCAATCCAAGATATGTTTCTCCTTGTGTTTTTGAGGACCACATATCCACTACAAGGGTTAGACACTTTATGTTTGGTAAGATATTTTCAAGGCTAAATTTCATCATCTCACTCTTGGCGGACGCATACAGCTCAACAATTGAGTGTGTCACTGCTTGAGCGTTA